CTAACGTGGCTAGTAAGAGCACTTGTCGCCTTAAATCTCTTCCCACAAACACTGCAACCAAATGGTTTCTCTCCTGTGTGGTCTTTCATGTGCCTCGTAAGAGACCCCTTTTCCTTAAATCTCTTCCCACAAGCACTGCAACCAAATGGTCTCTCTCCTGTATGAACTCTTATGTGCCTAGTAAGATTCTTCTTTGCATTAAATCGCTTCCCACAAATACTGCAACCAAATGGTTTCTCTCCTGTATGAACTTTTAAGTGAATAGTAAGATACACCTTTGCAATAAATCTCTTTCCACAAATACTGCAACCAAATGGTTTCTCTCCTGTATGAACTCTTATGTGCCTAGTAAGATACACCTTCGTATTAAATCTCTTCCCACAAACACTGCAACCAAATGGTTTCTCTCCTGTATGAACTATCATGTGCCTATTAAGATTCCTCTTCACATTAAATCTCTTCCCACAAGCACTGCAACCAAATGGTTTCTCTCCTGTATGGACTTTCACGTCCGTTGTGACATGATCCTGTCGGTAGAATTCTTCCCCACAAACATCAGAAACAAATGGTTTCTCTCCTGTATGGACGTTCGTGTGCCACCTAAGATTCGTCTGTCCCTTAAATCTTGCTTTGGTTTCCTTCCAATCAATGTCACTGTTTTCTGTCTTGGAAAACTCTGAGACCTTTTCATCTGTGTCTGGTTGAAGATGACCATGTGGATCTAAGTTCCTGTCTGGTTCAGATCTTCCACAGTCCTCTCCATCAGCCTCTGTTTCCATCTGTTCAGCTGAGCTGTTCGACGGAGGCTCTGCCTCTCTGATCTCTTCAGTTCGGCTTCGATGTGGCTGTGAAGACTGAGGTTTCTCCTCATCATCTTCATTCTTCACATGGACAGGAGTAAGTGGGACCTTGGCGTCATCAGCCTCCTCCAACCTTTGAAGCTGTTCTTCCTCCTGACTGGTCCAGAATTCCTCCTGTTCCTCTTTAAGACGTGGGTTCTCTGGTTCCTCCTGATCCAGACAAGGGCTCAACTCAAGGGGAACCTCTTCTTTAATCACGAACAGATACTGATGATCTGCAGGAAACAATGAAACACACACATTATGGACAATTCATATTAGCTGTGTTTCAAACGTATGAACTTTCCCCAGGAACCAGGAACCTTTGGAGGACCTGTGTGTGTTTCGACCACAAGAACCACAGTCTAAATTTAATTCCAGGGTAATTGATCTACCCCCAAAAAGGTTCCTGGTCAGGGGGTTGTACTTTCCAAGGATTCAGTACCTTTACTTGGGTGAACTTAAGTTATAATATATAACATTTCAACATTAAAATGTCTCAAGATGACTATACCTGTGTTATATATGTTTTGAGTTGTGATGTTAAATTATCCCCAATATTTCCAGCAATTCTCAAACCAAGAAAAATACATGATTTTACTATGGTAAAGCTGTGTCATTTGGTCGCCTGTCAATGATAGCACATCCCCTATATGCATGGGTCGGCGCTGTGGTTGCCTGCCAGAAGCTCAAAATTGAATGTGAAACTATTTTATTAATTGTTTTTTACAGTTCTAATGACCAGGTCTGTTTGATTTCCAGACGAACGGACACTGAAAGAATCAAAACTGGGAGAAGATGACGGTGATGGAGACTACAACCCCCATGAGCCCACATTATTTCATGACGTCATCCAATGCCATCTTTTTTCATTATTTGGATTGAGAGACACCTAGAGGCAGAAGTTACATACTGTGCGTTTAAAGGACAGAGATGACCTTTCCTGTGTGAATAATAAAACATTGTCCCCAGTTCCCCTTACATTTATTTTAATTCACTTTTTAAATTACCTTTTTTTGAAGGTACTTCAGTCTGTAGGTTCTCCTGGAATCGGATCCTGAGGTCCATGTGGTTCTGAGTTTCACTGATCTGAGGTCCGCTGTGCTTCCTCTGCTCTAACTGACCTCTGGAGGAAAAACACCTGGAATCAAATGTATAAGTGTATTGGATTGAGAATCATTTTTGAATCGAATCTTGAGATTTTCTGAATCAAGCACCCCCAGTATACATATGGACAAAATAATAATGACAACAAAAGTTAAGTAGGAACCTTGATGGAGTTCTGTTATTCATATCCAGATTCTTGTCGTACTCATCTTCATTGTCCTCTTCATCATGGCGGAGTCTCCTGCTGCACTTCCCACCTGAACAAAGAGCAGAAATCAATTATTTCCACTATAGATTGCTGCAAATGTGCGTGACTGAGTATTTTATTTTGAAACTATTGAACAGAAGTTATGTTGTTTATTCCAGCTCACTAAAGCAAGTTTTACAAAAAAAGAGAAAAGTTAACGTGTCACAATCATTTTCCATCATCATTATTAGTAGCAGTATCAACAGTATCAATACTATTGTTATTATCTACAATAGTAGAACGTGCTGGTTCTGTCCTACATGTTCTGCCAAAGCTTGACTAGTTGTTAAATCCTGAATTAGAAGCATCTCTGCAAAACTCCATCTCTTGAAAAACTTGCATTCAATTTTCCCTTTGTTAAAGCTAAAGTCTGTATGTGCCTGAAGACATGATACAACACCTGAACATTAGACACCTGTGTCTAACCGTACATCTGGCATGCAACATAACCAGAGAGCAGCAACACGTGGGGAAAACAACCATGAATCTGCGGTGATCAACAGCCCGCCACAGCTTCGCGCTGCAGAAGGACGATTCACTCAGGAACAGAGAGGAAACTTTGTGGTTCATGGATTTAAAATTTACGCCTAAAACGGAATGACCAACCGGTTTTGTGAGTATGACCGAGGCTGCAGGAGAACCTCCAGTAGTCTCCTCTGCCGGTCGATCTCTTTCTTTAAGCCGACAGCCTCCTCCTCGTACCCGCGCTACGAGTCCGTCCACGGCCGCTAAAGATTTCTGGGAGGCGGCGGCGAGTCTCTCATAACAAATCCTCTCAGAACCTCGGACTTAAGACAATTTTTACTGGCAAGTCTC